ACCAGGGAGGCTGAGGAGTGTGATCCCCCTATAGTTGGAGCACACCCTCTGGTCCTCCTTCTTAAAGAGGGGGACCACCACCCCGGTCTGCCAGTCCAGAGGCACTGCCCCCAATGTCCACACAATGCTGCAGATGCGTGTCAACCAGGACAGCCCCACAGCATCCAGAGCCTTAAGGAACTCCGGGCAGATCTCATCCACCCCCGTGGCTCGGCCACCGAGGAGATTTTTAACCACCTCAGTGACCTCCACCCCCGAGATAGGGGAGTCCCCATACTCTGCTTCCACATTGGAAGGCGTGTCGGTGAGATTGAGGAGGTCTTCGAAGTACTCCCTCCATGACCCAAAACGTCCCGGGTTGAGGTCAGCAGCACCCCATCCCCACCATAAACAGTGTTGATGTTGCACCGCTTTCCCACCCGGAGCCGCCAGATGGTGGACCAGAATCGCCTCGAAGCCATCCGGAAGTCGTTTTCCATGGCCTCACCAAACTCCTCCCAAACCCGAGTTTTTGCCTCAGCGACCGCCGAAGCCGCATCCCGCTTGACCTGCCGGTACCTGTCAGCTGCCTCTGGAGTCCCGCAGGCTAAGAAGGCCCGATAGGACTCCTTCTTCAGCTTGACAGCATCCCTCACCACTGGTGTCCACCAGCGGGTTCGCGGATTGCCGCCGCGACAGGCACCGACCACCTTACGGCCACAGCTCCGGTCAGCCGCCTCCACAATGGAGGCGCGGAACATGACCCATTCGGACTCGATGTCCCCCGCCTGGGAGAAGTTCTGCCGGAAGTAGGAGTTGAAACTCCTCCTGACAGGGGATTCCGCCAGATGTTCCCAGCAGACCCGCACTATACGCTTGGGCCTGCCAGGCCTGGCCGGCTTCCTCCCCCACCAGCGGAGCCAACCCACCACCAGGTAGTGATCAGTTGACAGCTCCGCCCCTCTCTTCACCCGAGTGTCCAAGACATGCGGCCGCAAGTCCGATGACAGGACTAAAAAGTCGATCATCGAACTGCGGCCTAGGGTGTCCTGGTGCCAAGTGCACATATGAACAAGGTGCGTGCAACACAGAGATTTACAGTGTACCAGGAAGTGGGCATCATCTGAAGAGATCAGAAATCCAGTTTCCTTTATAATACAAAGGAAACTGAGGGTTGGGGCGTGGGGGGTGGGGGGTGAGAGTCCCAAGGTCACCCTGTATCACTGTGGTGGGAATTACTGACATAAAGAGGCAGATTGCACAGGTCTGTCCCTGTATACAAGCTCTCCACTTCATTACTTCTGGAGTTTTAAAACAAGGACATCATATCGGCAAATAAAAAAAAAAGGGTCTGAATCCTGTAAAAATAGAACATTGTGAAGGAGAGTTAGGACCAAGAACCCTACCCTACTCTTCAACTTTTCATGCGGATTACCCATGAGGTGCACCACACATTAACAGGCCAGCCATTAGGTGTGTGACCAAGTTGAGGTTTACACTTTGTCACCTGGAGCTGATCTGTTAATTTTTAGAAGGTGCTACCTGACAAAGAGTCATTACTCTAAAAAGATGCGTCTTCCATTCCAGAAGTCATGAAGTTATTATTTTGGCAATAATATGCACATTTAATCCAACCTGTACAACCTTAGTGTCACGTTCGGTGACGGAGGCAAGCAGGGAAGCAGGAGCGCAAGCCAGGACTTCAGGTAAACTGGGTTTAATGAACTAAAACAGGCAAGCACGGACAATCACGAGACAATACAATGCCGGATCTGGCAGACATGGGGAGACGCGGACTAATATACACAGGACTAGGTAAACGGAACAGGCAACAGGTGAGAACAATCAGGGCTGAACACGAGGTAATGAGGGGGGCGTGGCACACATCGGGATCGTACGGAGCGGGTTGTGACACTTAGTCTGTTCTCATGCTGATATTACGTTTTCCACAGCAATAATAAAATACATGGAGGCACAAATTGTTCATTAAACCTGAGTACATTGTGTACGAGAAGCATTCAGGACAAGTCAGACTTCTGTCCGCATCTGTGATCCCTGCCATTAATCTGACACATGTACAGACTTTACCAAACACACGTACACAAGGGGAATAGCAGAATAATTTCAGAATTTCCACCCCTTATCTTTTGACACTGAATAAATAATAATAATAATAATAATAATAATAATAATAATAATAATAATAAATGTCTGATTCACAAAGAATGCTTTGCATACAGAAAAAAGAACAAAAGATATTGTGCTGCTGGTAAATCATTACAATCTCCACAGAACCTCTGCAAGCATTGCTGCTGGTGAATATTCATGAATTATTTCATCCTAAGATTGGAATTTCACATGCAAAAATGGGACACCGTTCACAGTATTAAGCAGCATTTTAATTGCTGTTAAATAAAGGTATTGAATCAGTCCTTTCGTTGTTTTTGCGCATATTTATTCATGCCCTTTTGTCATCTGAAATACATAAAGAACAAGCCAAGACAGGACCAAAGTCACATGTTGACCATTTTCTGTGTCAGACAGCGTCACATAGAATGTTGTTCTTCATTAAAAATGAAATGATAAGGTTTTCAATCTAAAATCTAGTCTTCCTTCTCTAAAATTGACGTTGTGCTGTCAAGACATTTAACTTTTTCCACACACCAGTTATATCTTAGGTGTAATGGGTAGCAATGCAAAAAGTCAGTTGAAATCATGTTGCAACATGTCAGGCATCCATCAGAGTTGGCAGCTTCTGTAAAACTGATACAGGTGATCCAGTGCAGGATTGTGGGAGAGAAGCCGTTGCTACCATGAATTTCATGAATCTCAATAATAGTGCATTCCTTCGTCAAACACTGGACAAAATGGCAGTGTCACTGTACGGTCATTTGATGACAAGAGGCAGTCTGGGACGTTGATGCCGGATCAGCCTAGCCTAAAATAACAAAGCTGTCCCAGCAAATATAGCCTGAGGAACGTGCCAAATAAACGAAAATAAATAAAAATCCTTAAAACTGTATGCTTTAAAAGCAGACTAATGCTGCTGCTTTCTGCAACACTACACAACAGTGTTTACCAAATTAATCCGAACACTTCGTACACCTCTATAATTTAGTAATTATCCTTACTATCATTTACTGCTTTTGTAAGACTTCGATGAAGCTAGCATTCATTACAGTTTAGAGTGAGTACTTTCTCGCATAGCAGCTAAACAGGAGCGGCGGAAACAAGGTCTCATCCACCGAGACAGAAAACCAGCAATCGACAGCCCTATCCCCAACAAAATTTCAAGCAACGTTAATGTGCTGCTGAAGGAACTGGTATGCTACCGATTTACCAGTATGATAAATAAATACACTGTAAATAAATGTTATTAAATATCAGTACATGATACTATATTGCGAACATTATGAATGCCAACGTGAGTGTTGTTAATGCTGTCTTACCTCCTCGTCAGTTTAGATGATGATCGAGGCACAAGGTTTCATTAGTCTTGTGATCATTGTAGTCCAGTTTTTGAGAACTACAATTGTACATAAGCCTTATGGTACTTGTAGTTTTAATTTTGACTGAATTTTAGTAAGTTGCATGGTGATAGCAAGATATTTTCTAGTTCTACTGTTTGTTAAAAATCGGTATTTGCAACTCTTTGATTCTGTATTTCTCTGATCAATATATTTAAATAACACTTCCCACAAAGCGGTAAAAGCTAATGCATCAGCACTGTAACTTATATTGCAGAAGCTCTTAATTATTATAAAATTACATACAGTAAATAAATGTGAAAGTTGTTTACCAATAATACTTAGGCTAATACTGGACCATTTCGTACGTGTCGCTATTGAATGACGTAATAACTACTTTATTATGTAATTAGTGGCAAAATACTATTATACGGCGGCACAAACCAATGCAAGAACTGTTTTATTAAATCATCTTTCAGTAGGTTAAATTCAGATCTTGATTTGAACTATGAAAAATCACATTTGATCGCTATCGAAGAGAACTATGTAATTTACAATGTTGCTTTTCATATGCTTGACGGGAATTTGATGATAATTTACTGTTACTCCAAACTCAAGTAATTTCCAGGCTAATGGTATAAAACAGATTACGCACATCTGTGAGAGCCCGTGTAATCCGATTCTGGCTCAGTTCATTCTGTGAAAATCCAGTGTCGTCATTGAGGCGTTCATTACAGGCCACATACATCGCTTTCAGATCCTTTCAGCCACTGTCATCGTCCACAGCTTTTTTTTAAATCGAGGCTATTAACATCGCATACTTTTCAATTCCTTATATTTATTATTGTTTTACATATATTTAAACTGATTATAGCCAAACTAATGCAAGTAATGTCTATACAATGTTAATTGGCTAAAATGCCCCCATGATAGTTATTATGAATATTATAAATAGTATTTATATATTTAAATCTCAGTCCCACTGTGAAATATTACTTAAATAGCAATAATATATGTTATGTGTGTGTTTGTTTTGACGTTTCTACAATAATAAACCAGTACCACAGATTTTCTGTGATTTGGCACCTTCATGGGTAGTCTTTTTATGCTGTATTTTATATCTTCTGATAAATACATTTTTAAAATTATAGTTTTTTTACCAGCATAACCGAACCTAAAACATATTCCTACTATTTATTTTTTTCTTTTGCATTTTATTTTATAATGTCTAAAACTAACAGATGAAATTAACTCAACTTTTCTTATATAAATCCTGTTCGAGGTTAAAATGCGCACGTCCAAGCGTAAATAGGTGATCACTAGCATTCACAGACCATGTAGAAAATGTTTAAATCCCTCCGAATATCCTCAGAACCGTGATCGATGCGATAGTCGCTTGATTATCTCCAAACTCCCTTCGCTTTTTCTCCATTGCAACTTTTGCAGGGACTCCACAGACATGTCGGCTGCCAGCTGAAGTAAACCCTGCGATTTGGCTCAACTTTTGAGCCGAAAAGAAGGCCGGTTGGCGATCGGCGGGGTGTAGCATCACGGATCTGTCTCGGACGTTTGTCCTCCGGAGCGGCCGGTATATCGGGGTCTCAGATGAGAATTTTAAATGTTCACCTTAACTGATGAGCGAAGCTGGTAATACGGGACACCACGGCACTGTCAACGGCTCAAAATGGCAGATTTTTATTGAGTTCTGAGCTGAAGCCTGCCCGCATTTTTTGCCATGAGTAAGAAAAGCCCTTGCACCAATGGCCCCCGTATTCGAAGGTAAGGAAGTCGGGAGTCGGGGCTTTCTCTCGGCCGCTTTGGCCATCGGGCGACGCTAAACCGAGGGATGTTTGTTGGCTGCTGACCCCAGCTAGCTACATGCCGGACGTCTGGGCTCCGCAAATCTACTTTGTATGAGCTCCAACCACTGATTTATTTTGTCGCATGTTTATTTCGTAGACAGCGTGTCTATTTAATTGCAATTTCGCAGTGTGGCAACAAATAGTTTTGCTTTCATCTTATTTATCCCTGAAGCAATAATGGACACTATGAAAAACGTTACATTCAACATGGTGTCCTCTTAAAAATACTATGTATTTTTTTCTTGCTTGTATTATAAAATGAACTATCAAATTGACATTAGTTAAATGAGATTATTGGAGGGCGATAATGAAAAGTACGTGGTATTTAATAAATATCTACATAGCGACCACCTCCATAGGCGTATGCCTATGGAGGTGGTCGCTATGTAGATATTTATTAAATATACAATTGTACATTGTACATATTAATGTATCTTAATCTGGCTCACTGGCTATTTTTAAATGTAAAGCTTGTAACTAACAATTTTAGTTCTACTAAAGAGAGTTCTACTTATTTGCTCTGGCTATTCTCGCTCTGATTTATTTAAACCCCAAAACTGTGTCGTTAATCTGATGTATTTCTGCTGCAGTGTGTTTCCGACGAATCTATCCGGGGAGACGCTGATCCGTATATTTATAAATGAATGTGTATTTCTAAAAATAATTATTTTGAACGTGTGGTCTTGGTATTGCCTATGCATATAGCCCTATATATAGTGATATGCTTCCTATTCCATAAGTCGCAGCAGCAATCAGGTGTTTGGTTTCATTATTTACACAAACAGGGAGGTAATCCTCTAAGCTCCTGCATCATTATGTAAAAGGCATAATTAAATTACGACCCTTTTACGTGAGATGATTTATCAATTGATGTTTACGCCCAATAACAAAGAAACTGACTTATGTAGCAGGCGGAGGTCCATTTGGCATCTCTGTGATACGATCTGGCCGAAATACAGCGGCATTTGTTGGCAATCTACGGAACATGGTGCGGAAAATGGCTTGTGCCGGTAGGGATGCGGGTGGGAAGATGTGTGATTATTCAGGTTTAGTCCCGGGATCGTCTGCAGTGTAGGATGAAAAAAGGTTTCACGATGTTTCACGGTGTCTCATGGCGTTGACCGCTGCGCCCCCTGCTGGCGGATCCCGCTGCGCACCCTGCCGGCGGGGACCCGGGTGCTTCTGCGCGGCAACCCGCTTCGGATACAAAACGTAACATTCCCTTTACTTAAATACTTAACATGTTGTATTTTCCCGAAACCTTTCGCAATGCAAAATGCTGGTAATGAACGACTGTCGCAGTATCTTCCGCCACTCTTTACCTCAGCCTTAATTTACTGAGATCATGAGCATTTTCAAATACATCATCGCAAAGAGCATCTGGTAGCATTTTTGATTGTCTCTTGCGCTGAACTGTAGATTGGAGATATGCCTCTGTGCTGCATATTCCACCTACAGATGTTTTACTAAACCAGTGAAGCCAGCAGGAGAGATATCAGTCTCCTTTACACGTTTACCTTGTTGTCTGTCCCTGGAAAATGCCGGAAGGCTGTTCAACAGTTGACATTGACAAGTGACATCCCCTTAAAAAGACAAAACATTTAATTCCTTATTGTCCTCAAACATGGAGGGGAGAGTTGAATCACCTTCGGATGTCTCACACGATTGTGTGGCCCTTAAGTGCAAAAACAGTGTCACAAACATGTCACACAGGCTGAAAAGTGGCACAGTCACCATCGTGAGGTCCTGCAATGATAATGAACATAATGGGCATTTTCTTTCTTCTGGACAAGAATCCTTTTTTGCCGAGTTAACTTAAGTCTAATATTCAGCACTCCCATCCGGACTGGCCGAAGCATTATCATCTTTTTTTTTTTTGTATGTTAAATGCTAAACCAACCACCAACCACCTGTGACCCTCTGTGTTTCTACCAGCTAGTTCATGGTTTGAAAGAAAAACATCTTGTTCCCTCAGTCTGAATCTGAAGTCCCTGGGTGACAAGTGTCTCTCTTACAGTTCTAGTTACTTCTAGACAGTGAGGATCCAGAGCGATGGTCTCGCCATCTGCTGCAGACAGTATTATGTTTTTATTTAGCTGGCTGTATTTCCAGCCATCCAGGGCGATTTTCATTTGGAGATGGACCAGCAGTGTCCATGGAGCCCTTTAGCCTCGCCTGTAGTGAGGTGTTCGTATTAACTTTTTTTTCTTTTCTTTTTTAAGAGCTGGCACCTTGCTGGCAGATAATTAACTGAAATTACATTTCCTGCCTCTCTCGGGCGCTGTGGGGAATTGTGAGAGGAATTAATTGCTCTCTGTCGCCGTAAGCTGACGCTGCAGGGGGGTGTTCAGTGCTGAGCTGGGCCGTCCGGCACCGGGCTCGGCCATCCGGATCACAGCTGGGGGGACAAGAAGGACCAGGGGATGAACTAACGCTGCTTAAAAGGTGAAGGTGTGGGTGTTTTTATGGGGAAGAGTGACAGGGACTTCTTTTAAGGTTCTGGCAACATCACCCCCCTCCTCCCCCCATCTGTGTGTTGCATTGCAGGCCTGTGTTACGGGCTGGGCTTAGTGATGGAGCCAGATGCTGACATGCTGTAGAGCCCAATTTAGTGGCGCATTGCTGACCCCTCCGGCTTACCCCAAAACATCTGTGTGTTGAAGCTAACAGGATGAAATATGAAACACGGCAGAAAGCCCCTCCTCCACCACCTCAAGCTGTTTTCAGCTGTCTCCAATGAAGCAGTTAACCTAGCCTAAGAGTGGAGCTTATCAGCAACCACTCATAAGGTCCATCTGGTGGCACAGTGGCTAAGGAAACAAACTTATAATCAGGAGGGTACTGCTCATTGAGTGGTTTCAGAGTCCTCAGAACAGTCTTGGTGGGCTTTTTAATTGAATTGTTTTTGTGTATTACTTGGTCAATTTGGTTGTTTAACTGGCAGTTTGTATCGGTGTGACCTGCAGACAGCATGTAGACTTGCTTAGTGACATTCTGCTGTTGCTCTGTGAAACTCTGAGGGAGATGGGTGGTTAGACGCAGTTGAGTAGCAGCATGTCCACTATTGTGTTCTCACTGCATTTGAGCATTTTTTTTATTTATAATATATAGCAGTGTTCAGCCAGCTTTCTTGCTTGGAAACATCGGGTTTTATCAAGCACTTGATGCATCTTTGATCGTTCTCTCTCACAGCCTTCTTACTTTGAGGACTTTCATAGAGGAGCATAGTTGATCTGGACTCTTCATGGAGTTCTCACAGTTTCCCTGGTTAATGGGTTGGGCTTTGTGTCAGTGGCGAATGAGATGAAAGTGGGCGTGATCCTGTGGCTAGCATCATGTTCTGGAACAGTAGCTCTCAGTGTCCTGGTGGAGCCTTTGACTTGGGGCACCACCGAAGCAGAGCTTGAAGGCCAACATGAACAGAAGACAAGGTGGTGGGGCATATCAGAGGGTATGGGCATGGCTCTGAAACCCCTCCTGTGGATTTTGTCTTCAGGTTTTGTATGTTTTGTGTATTTTTGGCTGTTGCAGTCTGACCCCACCCACCTCCCATTGGAGGGTGGGGGGCAGTTATGCAAGTGTTCTGAAAATGAAATGACATGAGAGTCCAGTAATCTAGAGGTACCTGTAATTTTGTAAATTTTGTTCAGTGGGCACAACATTCTTATGAACTATGGTGTGTTTTTCTCTTAGACAGCTATGCAGTTGCAAGCTGGGAATCTTGAGAATGCCGTTTTCAATGGACTGTGTGTGTATGTGTGGATTTGTATTAACCACATTATAGAGACCATTTCGAGGCAGTTCGTAAATTGAAATGTTTAAGTCGTTATTCAACATCATTTTAAGGGTATATGCAAGTGCAAAGAACTAGGATGCTGGGAGTACGCATGCTACGCTGCTGTGCAGCGGGAGAAGTGGCCAGAAGTCATACTAGGCAGAATTGGCATGCAGAAAGTCAGTCTGATGTTGTGGATGGGAAACGAGAGCCTTACAGTCCTCTTCGTTTGTATATCTGAAAGTTCGTAAATTGAAATATATACCAAAATAAAATATAGTATAGAGTGTATGTGCACACACTCTGTGCCTGGTTCAGGATGAGGGTGTTCAACATTGCATTAGGTAAGACCTTGGAAAAATGTCCTCCAAAGTTTAAAAGGCGCATAGTCCTTTTGTGAGCCCCCTCCTGGTGGTTGCTTTGGAGGATGCTTGGTGCTATGGGGCCAGCGCTGGGGTGGGGGTGGGGGGTGGGGGCTTTACAGGAAGTGGATAACACCTCTGCTCAAGCATCGTCCCAAACAGATGAAACACCCCTCCATATATTGAGCTGGGCCCAGTTGCTTTGGACAGGTGGGGGGGAGGGTGCTTCCCCAGACTGTGTTTACCCACTTAACATCTCATTGGCATTTGTAGGTGACTGTACTCTGGGCATCCACTGCTAGGACCATCTTCACTTAAAATGCTCATCTTCTGTTGACATAATCCAGAGTTAAACACTGAGTTGGGAATCTTCATTCCTAGCTGTGTGTCTCGGCTCTGTACTCATGTCAGTGTGGGTTTTGGTCATTTTATAATCCCACTGATACTGAAAGCTCGAAACCTAAGCATTTTCCGAATCCAGTCTACACACTATCAAACTGCTGCTGAGTGAGGCTTTATGTAACCCCCCCCCCACACACACACACACACACACACACTGCCAGGCTTCCTGGTCTGTGTTATCTGTGAGCTTTTAGGAAAGGACAGGCACTTCCCGTTCTCCTGCTGTGAGGCTGTTCCTCACACTGCTGGGGTTCAGCCAGGTGTCTTCCGGAAGCTCCCGTCTGAATAGCGTGACGAGAGCAACGTGAGCAACACTGTCTGAGGACGGGACGTCTGCGATGTGCTTGACAGCCTGCTCCTTAGCTGCAGTGTTAAGGG